TGTTTAATTATTACATCTTTGTCTAAAGATGAAACAATGCATCTCTACATTTAATTTAACAAAAGCCCAAAGAAGAGTAGCTAATTCAGAGAAAGATGTAATAATTAAGCAAAAAATGTGTCTGATGAGTCCCAAAACAGCAATCTTCTATATGTAAGGCAAACATATAGCCATTGTGTTATTACATCACTCCTTCTAAAGGAAGTTCCAAAAGACATCAGAGAGCCTAGTGAATATTGATTTGCTTGAGGTGGCATTCCTACTTCTAGGAAATAGCCAGTGATCATAGTCTGTAACAAAAAGTGTGTATCACCAAAATGGATGGACATTCAAAGTGACCAGTGGTGGGTTCCTACTGGTTCAGACCAGTTTAGCACAACCAGTAGTGGTTTGGTGGCCTGGGGTGCTGGAACCGGCAGCGACACAGGCCTGCCAAGCTGCCGAACCGGTTCTCCAGGTGGCACCATAGGTGGTACCATCTTGTTTTTCAGTTTTGTGCATGTGCAGTACAATTTTTATTGTACTAAGCATGTCCATGCAGTGCACGCGAAGCACCCATGAGCAAACCAGCAGTAGTGGCTCCCGGAACCCACCCCTGAAGATGACATAAGGGAAGGTAGAAGAGTAATTTAAAATTTCAGCAGGAAAATGCCCCTGGAAGTTCTTTGCAATCAGAGGAGTGTGAGTGCAGAGCAACACCATCCATTCCTGCTTCCTTGTTCACTCCATCAATTGGGCAGCAGGACAGTAAAGATTTATTTATTTATTAAATGTATATGTTGCCTATCTCACTAGCCAGAGGATTAGTGGATTAGATGACAGACAGACGTGGATAGAGATATGCCTCAATATAGCCATGGATGCTAGTTGTGCTGAGCATTTCCAGTAGAGATGGGGAATGATGGCCCCTTTATGACTTGTGGATTTCAACTCCCAGAATTCCCGAGCCACGATTCTGGGAGTTGAAGTCCACAAGTCATAAAAGGATCATCGTTCCCCACCCTGATTTAGAGGATGGTGTGATCAGGGAAAGAGTCCAGGTAAAACTGGTGCTTCAAAACAAAGATGATGAGCTTCCAATTTTATTTCTTTTCCAACTAAACCCAAGAAAGAGATTAAAATTCTAAAACTGTTGGTGAGATGAATGTAATGGCCTGATTTTTCAGTATCTTAGGACCCACAAGGTATAGACAGAGAATTAAGGTTTATTCTGAGTACCGTTTTTGTTTCTCATTCTGCTATTCTGCCAAGAGATGGCTAGTTGCAGGTCATATTTCCAGGCTGAGAAAACTCAGAGTCATGCACTATCTTGCTTTCATGATAGGCCAGGACAAGAAATAGACAGTGGGATAGTATTTTATTTTCCCATGTATAATAACAGAATTTTAAAAGCATGACAAAGGTTTTCTTTCTCATCTTACATTAAACAAAATCAAGATGAGGTTATTTTGAGCTTCTTTTTCTCATTTTCTCTCATTTGGACTTTGAATCACTTTCCAAGGTCCCTTCAATGATTCTTTCATAACTTCCCCAAGTCACTTCTAAATTCCTTTACATATGCTCTTGGATATGATTCAGCTTGTAGCAAAAACTTCAGATCTGCTGCAAGTGAGAGATGGTAGCTTGGACTGAGCTTTTGTCTGGAAAACTCCTATCTTTTAGCTAGACTTCTAATTAATGATGCTACATACTCCTCACTGCATATTTAGTTTACATATTGGCACCCTCCATCCACATGTAAATTTCAATTCACTTCCACATTTATTATTCAGAAATCTATAGTTTTAAGATTAAATTGCGAGGTTTCCAGGATAGATAGCAGTACATTTCAAATGTATGGAATCTACCAATTGTACTTATTAATATAAAATTACTGGGTCTTCTTCCTTTATCAATATATCAGCAAGCACGGATACTGCTCTCTTTAGAAATCTCCATGTAATCTTGTCTTCAAGGAGTTTTGAAGATTTTCTAGAGTTATGGGACCATAGACTTTCTTTATTTGGATTATCATTTAGTAACTTATCAAGCCTTACACCAGGAGATAGAACCAGAAAATGCACATATTCACAGAAAGGAAAATTATATGGTAAATACCAAGGTTGCCTGATTATTTCTCAGTGATGAGCAAACACTAAGAAATGCAATTTTTGCCTCCCAAATGATACCAAACAGCTCCTTGGGGTTCACTAGTGGCATCTAAAATTGCCCATGTTTCTGGCCTGCTCATAAAGAATGAATGCATTGTAGGGGTCATTGTGTACGATTCTTTTAATATCTCACTAGTGGGATATGCTTGCCAAGTGCTCTTCCAACTCTGTGTTCTGTACAATATCATTGTGATTTTATTCCATGGTGTTTAATCTTGGGTCAAAAACAAAAATAAAGCTACTTGGTGAAGCAACTTACAATTATCCAAGCAATAAAGAAACTTTAAGTGAGAAGACATGTTTTTTTAAACAGAATGAAAAGGCTCTAGAAAAATGGGTAGAGGGGCATTTTGCTTCTCTTTTAAAATCTTCTCCTATTCCTGGTGGATTGGAGCCAAAAGGCCTTGCTTCTTGGGATTTAACAGCTATGGAAAAGCATTCTTTAAATACTTCAAGAGGACTCCATTGCTAATTGGATTTTCATGATTTAAAATGAATTCTTCAGATTATTTTTTACATGTAACCTTTCACCCTCCATTACCATGTATTTCTAAAAGTTACTCAACCATAATCCTTTTACTGCAAACTACAAGACAGTTGCAACTAATTTGTTATATATTTTTTCCAGTGTAGACTTTCTGTAATATTCTGTCAATACTGCAGCTTGTTAAATTGACACGATGTAAGGAAAAGGAAGGAAAAATCTGGATGCTTGGGTGATTTGAACATTTTGTTTGTGAAATACTTTAATCAAAAGAGCAAGAAGATTGGTAAGTGGAACAAAGACCAGGAATGTCTGTACACAAGCACACAAATATATGAATGTATGTACAGTAAGCATGGCTGAAATAATATTTTACTGCTTTAACTGAAAAATAAGGACAGATGCTGGTAAAATGGTACAATATAGAAATATTAGCTAATGACCGGTGGTGGAAGGTCACTATATATAACAACTGAGCTTATTAATGGAAAGGAAAATGACTAGGCTCTACATGTAAATTTATTTATTTATCAAATTTATGTAGCTATCCATCTCGCAAGTATAGTCTAAGTGATCCACATTAATCAAAACAATTAGAATTCATCTTGAAATCAGCAAAAAAACAAGAAACATGCATACAATGTTATTTTAATGCATGCATTAAAAATTCAAATATAATAAAACCATTTCATGGGGGCCCTTTTCCCAAAAGGATCCTCAAGTCTCTTGGAAAAACGACATCTTAATACAAATCTAATTTGATCTTGAGGGCGAGTGATGCCCCAAACTATGAGTGCCTTGTCAGAAAAGGCATGCATCCCGAGTCCCATCAAATGGATTTCCTTAGCAGATGGGACATGTAACATCCTCTTTCCACCTGATAGGATTAGTATATATAATCAGGAAGAAGCTGTCCCTCAAATATGTTGGCTCTGGGGTGATGTAGAGCTTTAAATGTCAAAAACAGCATCTTGAATTGCACTCAACAGCAAACTGGCAACCAATGCAGTTCACAGATATATGCCACTTTAGGGGTACCCATCTGCTCTGCTGCATTTTGTACCAGTTGAACCTTACAGATACTCTTCAAGGGCAACCCCATTTAGAGTGCATTACAATAGTCCATCCAAGTAGTGACCTGGGCATGAATAAGTATTAGCAAAGACTACTAATTATGGTTGATTCAGAACCAATATTGATGAAATACATTCTTCCACAAACTCTACAAGCATATGAAATAAAAGCTTTCTGAGATGTCAGTTTCTTGTCCTTAGAAATACTGCCAAAGGCCTTATATGGTAACTCTCCAACAGCATTTGAATATTTTAATCTGCCCAATGTTTTTATCTGGCTTCTCTTTCCTGTGCGTTTATCTGTTCCTCTGTTTCTTAAATATACAATTAGCTACACAGTTAGTCAGCAGATTGAGCTACAGGTGGTTGAATCTGGGCATGCTTCCATATAAGGTTTTTATTGTGCAACAACCTGCCTGAAACTCATACTTTTATCAGAGGTCTAGATGGTGCAATATTTCACCAGTAACTCTCTCATATTTCCCCACTCTTTCTTTGGCTTTTTTTCCCCATAAAAGAATCTAAGGCAAAGGCAATAAGACAGGATTTTTCAAACTTGGCTACACTCTACTTTGTTACTGGTAGCATCAGAACATCTAGGGTAGAATTCAAAGCCCTTGTGTCTGTTTTCCTCTGTTTACAAAAAACAACAACAAGCAAACGTGCATTTGAAGTGTCCTTTAAGTATTTCATGACAAGTGATTATTATGGGTTCCACCACAAAACCGCGCTCAACTAAACCGCGTCTGACTAAACCGCGTAGCTGACGTCATCAACAGGGCGACAACAGCGTGGATACAGAAGCACGCTGTAAACCCTAAACCTAAAATTAACCCCTAAACCTAACCCCCCTAAACCTAATCCTAAACCTAACCCTTAACCTAACCCTAAACCTAACCCTAAACCTAACCCTTAACCTAACCCTAAACCTAACCCTAAACCTAACCCTAAACCTAACCCTAAACCTAACCCTTAACCTAATCCTAACCCTTAACCTAACCTTAAACCTAACACTAACCCTTAACCTAACCCTAAACCTAACACTAACCCTTAACCTAACCCTAAAGCTAACCCTAAAGCTAACCCTAAAGCTAACCCTAAAGCTAACCCTTACCTTAAGTTGAATCGTCTTACTTTCAAAGCGCTATTTAAAGCGCCCTTCTTTCTCCGCGCTGGCTGTTGTCGCCCTGTTGATGACGTCAGTGACGCGGTATAATCGGGCGCGGCTTAGTCGAGCGTGGTTTTGACGGGTCACGATTATTATGCTATAGTATAGACTTAGTTTTGACTCACCACCTGGGAGCACCAACCACAATGTGGATTTACAGTCAGGCACTGTTGACATGAATTTGCTCCTCTTGTGGTACAGATATTGTTACCTGAAATACAACAGACAAAAATTGTTCCATAGACCTTAAAAGCATTTCCTTAGTAACAACAAAGCAGCTGACATAAACAGCTCTTCATTGGTTTTGGCATTCTTTGAAATTTACTGACATTTTTTTTATTGTCTGCCCTAATTACACCTTCAACCATTTGCCATTTGATTTTCAAAGGCTGTTTTTTAAAAAAAAAATTCTGATACCTACACAGCCAATATACTATATAGTATAATATACAGTGTTTGTACTTCACAGCTGTTCTTTCCATGTGACCAGTGGAGATTTATTAACTCTGCTTGCTGTTGGTTCTAAATACTTTTGCACATTTAAACGAACATAAACAGGAAATATGCAGACCATTATGCAATCTGTGCTCTGAGTAAGCGGACAGAATCCAGAGAGACAAACCTGGAAAATTTTGCAGTGCTTGTTTTTAAAGTAAGGGGAAGAGTCTATTTATATAGCTCAATTGGAAAAAAAATGACAAATTCAAAAAGCTAATATCTAATTCTATTTCTGAGCAGATTTCTTCTTTGGAAAGTGGAATGAATCTCTTAAATTCAACAAACGCAGCTTCGTATCTGTATCAAAATGTGTACAAGTTTTTCTGAAAGAGGGTGCTATTTAATATAATTATTTTTAAACAAGTGGATGTATGATAGCAGGAGAAAAGAAGCCCAGTGCTATTTTGCTCAGTGACATCAGTCTAGGCATAAAATAAGCAATATAGAATGCACTGCTAGAATAATTTTTGTTAGATATTGGTGAGTAATTGGTCAAAATCTCCAATTGCCAAATACTAAATAGAAAAATGTGCCCCAAATATTAATTTTTGATCCAATACAAAAATATCCAGTTGAATCTATATAATATGCTTAAATCAGACACTGTTTTCCACTGCTCCACTCCTCCATTTTACAAGACTGATATAGGAAAAATATGAAAGGGTTAAAGGCAAAAATGCTAAATACTGCTTTTGGAAGATTTACACAGAACTTCAGAATAGCTAATGCCTGCATTCCTTAAGGAATTATCAGCAATATCTTTACAGCAATGCAAAAGAAATGAAATGTATTAACATTGTTAACTTCTCTTAGTTAAAGAACATAGTTAAATATAAAGAGAAATGGTTTTATATACTAAATGGGTTGAAATCTATGTTTACCCTAAGTACACAATTACAATATGTAATTAAAATGACATATACATTTACATACACACACACACACACACACACACACACACACACACACACACAAAATTATACAGGGAACATATGCCTTCGAGTCAGTTATGACTCCTGACAACTATTTGGAAAAGTCTATCCAATTTTCTAGGCAGCATTTTCAAAAGTGGTTTATTGTTGCATTTTTTCGTTGGACTGAGAAGAGTGATTGGCTGTCACTCAGTTGGCTTTCATATCTCCTAGTTTTCAGTCCTTGTCTTTAACCACAGTACCAAACTTGCTATCAGCAGCGACATTGCCAAATCGCAAATGAACTGTGCTTGTATAATTCTCTGCTAACAAGAATGAATGGAAGAGTGGGTTTCTTCTTTGTATGAATGCCAAATCAAGGAAATGATGATGTCACTCTGGAAGTTGCCACACTCTCAAAGAAAATAAAAGTAGACCAAATGTGCTTCCTCAAATAATTGGATACTGTCCATGATGTTATGGCAGACAGGTGATAGGATACAGAACTGTGTACATTGGTTAGGAGCAGAAGACCGAACAGATCCTATTTTGGACTGTGAGTGGAATCTGCATTTCCTGGTTCCTCTTTTTGTAGCTTTAATTTTAAATGTGTGGTAGTATTAAAACTAAACAAAGCCTAGTGTGCAATGTTGCCTTCACCATGTGATTTCTATTTGTGCAAAAAGAACTTGGAGGTTATTCAGCTTCTGTTTTAAATAGAGCTGGTCTCTGCATTGTAACTAGGCCTCCTCCGAATTCCATCAGCCGGCCAGTGTCGACTGGCGACTACCCGGAGGAGGGCCTTCTCTGTGGCTGCTCCGACCCTCTGGAATGAACTCCCCATGGAGATTCATACCCTCACCACCCTCCAGGCCTTCCGCATAGCCCTTAAAACCTGGCTGTTCCGACAGGCCTGGGGCTAAAGACTTGCAGCCCCACCTCGAATGGTATGATTGTTGTGCTTTTTTAACTGTGTATGGTCTTTATGTTTTGTAACTTTGTTTGTTTTTCCCCTCCCTTGAGTTGTGAGCCGCCCTGAGTCCCTTTCAGGGAAAAGGGTGGCATACAAATAAAGTAAAATGAAAATGAAAAATGAACTAGCCTACTGCTCTCTAGTTCCCTCTGTACTTTGCTATTGTGAAGGCTGAACTGCATAGATGATGGATGGATAGGTAGGTAGGTAGGTAGGTAGGTAGGTAGGTAGGTAGGTAGGTAGGTAAGGTGGTGCAACCAGCTTTTGCACAGTGCATGGCAGTAAAAAACAAGTGCTGCTTGAAATGTGTTGGTGGCCTGACAACAGCTAAAACAAAATCACTTCCTTTTTCAGGAACTCCAGGTATCAATGCTCTTCTATCTGTATTGCCCAAGAGACAAATACAACCTGAATCTAATAAAATCTGCCCATACAACCTTCTATCTGCCGCTATAACGTAATGTTCGAAAAAGCTGGTATGATTCTCTCATACCCATCAGGCTGTTCTTCATCTAATACAGTGAAAAATTTGCAAAGCTAGAAGCAGACTGTCCTCACCCCAAAGAGCTTACTATAAAAATAGCAAGACAAGACATGACCAAACCCTCTAATCAGCCTTCTTTCACATAGCAAGAAGTCTATGTAGATAAATCCCACTTCTTGCAAAAAGTATTTACACTGTCACATTTGAGTTCGGGTCCTCATATGTTATTTTTGATAGAGAAAAATAACATTCACAAGAGCAGATTAAATTGTTTTGAAAATCCTTTGAAGTCACTCTGGTCAGCTCCAGAGTGCTTTACAAAGAAGCATCATTAAATACATTCTGAATATATTTATAACTGCTGCAAAGGCGATCAAATGTTCTATTTATTTATTTATATGCCCCCACAGAGTGATTCTGGGCATGTTTAAATATTACAATATAAAAATAAAGTTAAAAATAAGAATAAAAATTTAAAGGTGGGGAAGGGGTTTCAGGGTGCTAACCAGCCCCATGGCTGCATGCATCCCCTGAAAGCCCAAGCAAGTTGACATAATCAGGTCTTTAGGCATTTGTAAGAGGCCAGGAAAATGGGGGCCTGCCTCACCACTGGGGGCAGAATGTTCCAAAGGTGGGGGCAATGGCAGGAAAGACTCTCTTCCTACACTCGGCCAGTCAGAATTGTTCAACTGACCAGGTATGCAACATACCTGCCTGACTGAGTGTGATGGGCTGATGTAATGGAGTGAACATGGCTCCACAGGTAAATTGGCTCCGTGCAATGTAGTGCTTTAAAGATCACAACCAACACTTTGCATTGGACACAGAAGCAAACCGGCACATAATGCAGCTTGTGCAACAGAGGTGTTACATGTGCTGTCTTTTGGGTGCCTCTGATTGCTTGCGTAGCTGCAATCTGCAGTAGCTTCCAGGTACTTTTCACGGGTAGCTCCATTTAGTATTTTGTATTTTCTCTTTTTTCTTTTCCCTTTCATTTATTTATTCTTGTCACTTTTATTTTATTCTTTTTCCTTACATTTTTATTCTGTAATTTTTTTTAAAAAAATAAAAAATTTAAAAAGTAGCAGCAGTTCCCCATAAAAGCATGCCAAGCTGTGTGACTCCAGCAACCTCTGCAGTATTAGTTCCGAGGTTAGATGAAAAACTATGCACCATCACCTTATAGAGAGAGAGAAAAAATTTCTTCAAACAGGAATCAAATTTAAAGGCCTGAGAGGTCAGCCCTGCAAAAAATTCAGATGGTAGCTTTCTACACCTCTTTGCTCCCATTAGTGGTTTTATGTGAATTATTTCAGGAACTTTGCATAACACATTATTGTCACCAGTGGACACTACCTACAATGATGAGCAACACAAGTTTCAGTCAACTTTAATGTGGGAGGAAGGTAGCCTTCCATTTAGAATTGCTGTAGCCCCTTCTGCAGCTCTATAATTTGTTCTCCTCCTAGTGCACCCCCTCTAATAACCACATTGGTTTGCTGATTCACAGGCTGCGGCTTTTGTAGCTCCTAAAAGCTCTGAGAAACTGTTGATTAACCTTCCTGGGTTATTATTAACTCGATGGTGGCTTGTGTATAGGAGCTGCCTTCCCTGTTCTCGCTGGAATGTTTTTGTCTTTGTGGGTTGGCAAAAAAGTTGGTCATCAGTTTCGGCAAAGTCCTCTCCCTGCCCCCAGGGAGTATCTTTTTGCTCATAGCTTGGGAGATGACAAATGGTTGAGGGTCTTTATATCTTATCAGAAGATAAGGAGCAAGCTTCTTTTTATACTTCACAGAACAAGTTTGCTAACAGGAAGCCATTTATACATAGGAATGAGGACATATTTGATAGTCATTCACAGCATGGGCACCTCATGATTAGATTACTGCAATGCATTCTACATGGGAATGTCCTTGAAGACCATCTGGAAGCTACAGCTGGTTCAAAATAAATGGTAATTGGCACTTCTTGTTTTGCTCAGTGTCACTATTGCTACTTGAACCACAATGGTTGCCAGTTAGCTTCCAGGTGCAACTCAAGATGCTGGTTGTTACTTTTTACCTCTGTTATTAAAGCCATTTGTGACTTAAGAACCTGGTTATCTGAAAGACAATCTTACTCTCATTGTTGCTGCTTGCCTGGTATATGCAGGCAGGTAGTGTGTCCCTTCTATTAAATGTCTTACAGGACTGAGCAAATATGTTTTCTATGCCATGGACCTCGCTCTCTGGAACAGCATTACTCAGACTAGGTAGTTTATCCCAGGGTTCTGTAGTTATTTAAACCTGACTAAGTTAGATATCCTAATTTTACTACAGGGGAGATTATTAGAAATCTATTCATCT